TATATATATATATATATATATATATATATATATATATATAACACTTTTTATGAAATTATGTATATAATGTGAAAGGTTGAATAAATTGAAATGTAATATTTTCATTTGAATAACATTTATTTGTACACAATATTTTTTCTCAACATCCTTCAATTTTTCTTCTTTTTATTTTCTATTTTTAACCTTTCATCAAGACCTTTATTGTTTGCATTAAAACTTCACAAAAAAGTGTGAGATATAGTTGCACATAAGATAATACACATTCAAAAATGTATATTCTAATAGTAAGCATTGTTTGTCCTTAAGCTTTGTTAATGATAATTGCAAGTATAGATTTATTGAAAATTGTTATCTCTTAAATTTGAATAAATATCTTTCAAAATCTGTTGGCTTAATGGAATGCGTGGATACTATTTGGCAACAATGTATTTAGAATCTCCTCTTGATAAAATTGATTTGAATTTAGATTCCACACAAAAGATAAAAAATGAGAATCAAATATAAAATGAAATTACTAAAAAGAATGTACCTTGAGTATGAGAAAATAAAAAAAAAATCAAATATTGAATTGAATTGACAATTAGTAAGCATGTCAAAAAATTACTAAATTCTACTACTACTACAAACAACTGGCATGCTTAAATTCATAAAATTGAATTATTATCACTATTGCTTTATTTTGAATGGCACCTTCATATACATTACAAAATTTTTTCTTTAACGTAACAAAGTTTTTATCGAATATGTTTGAATATAAATATGTCAAATTAAATTTAAAAGTAAAGTATGTATACATGTGAATATTAAATCGCCAAAATGGATGATTAATTTATATTCATTAAATATATCCAAAATCGTAAAATATAAAAAGTTATACCTCATTTAATTTTTTGAAAGCAGTGACACATTTAATCTCTTATTTTGGTTTGCCTAAATTCAAGTAAATATATTTGACTTATTTCGATTCAATTCGATCTGATTAGATTTGGTATCATTGGAGACATGTAATTTTTTTTTCTAATAATCCTTTGAAAGTCGAAAGGAAATGATAATAAAAATTTACAAAAATAATTGGTAAAAACTTAAAATCAAAAGCTAATTTTCTAAATATTCTTTGCTCGTAGTATAATATGAAAAAAGAATTTATAACTTAAACAAAGTTATAAAGTCAAATTTACAACCTTTCAACTTTTAATAATATTAATATTATTAGTAATATTTATATCTAGTATTAACTTTAATAAGCATAAATGATACTTACAATTTTTAGTATATCGTATAGCACTATTTTAACATGCCGACATTAAAATTTAAAATATACACTTTTTAGTATGACATGACTAATGTTCTATCATTATAATTGACAAAAAAAACTTTTGAAATGCCTATAGAATTTTAAAATATCAAAACGCTTGGACAAAAATTTGTGGGATGCGACATAAAAGTTAAACTATTTGATTATGCAATTAAATTATTTACATAATTAATTCTTAACTATAATTTTGTGCTAAAACCAATATTCAAAATAAAATAAAATAAAAATGTTGGGAGGATTTAAGAGCTTTCTACGAATTAAAGGTAACAGTACGAAGTGAATGTAAATTATAAAAATGGTTATAATCAATAAAATTAATAGCTCAAAAATTATTAATATTCTATGGAAATGTGTATTGAATCAAACTTGTAAGGTTAAAAAATTTAGAATATGACCGCTCGAAATTTGGAAGAATCTAATTTTAGATTTTGATAAATTTTTTCTCTTATCCAATGTTTAAGTGAAAAAAATGCAAATTTTAATAAGCACTAAATTGTTTTTCAGACTAACAACTCATACATAAATTTCTTGAAAGTGAAATTGATATTAAAATTTCCAATTTCTCAAAAC